GTCGAAACTCACAGGGTAATGACTTGCAGAAAATATGTATGATGTCATAACTGAAAAACAAGACACACACACACCCCCATCATCATACACACACACACACACACACACACACACACAGGTGGCAATCAGCATAGATGATCCAATAATGACTTGGGTCAGGTGGGGGGCAGTGGAGAGGAGTGTGGAAATCAGAAGAGGGTATCAAAGGTAAATCCCCAAATACTATCCGTGGTTGCCTTTGTGGGTAGTTTTCCTCTGGGTTTCCGATCGTGTATAGGCTAAAAGTGTTGAGCACATTGAGGAAAACAAAGTCACGAAAGCCTCCCGGCTTTGAGGGAGTTCAAATTAGTGGAACTACTTTATCCCTGGATAGCTCCTTTTTGGAGAATTTTACACATAGGAATACTGTCCTGGTGGTAGACTTAACAGAAGACTCTAGATCCAGATGGACATTGTTTTTTGACTAGCACAGTGATCAGCGCTGCATGTCTCTCCCACTATCAGCCAAACTCTGGTTGGTCTGCTTTGGCAGTAAAACAAACAAACAAACAAAAACCTCGCTGCCATGGAGTCAATGCTGACTCACAGTGACCCTATAGGACGGAGTAGACTGCTTCTAGGGGTTTCCAAGACTGGACATCTTTATGGGAGTAAACAGCCTCATCTTCCCCCCATGAAGCAGCTAATGAGTTCGAAATACTGACTTTGTGGTTAGCAGCTCAATGTGGGGCCCTGGTTGGGCCAGTATGGTTCCCTGGTAAAAACCTGAAAAGCAGGCTGTGTTGACAAGTGAAGGAGCCCAGGAGGCAGTAAGCATTGGGCTGCTAACTGCAAAGTGGTGGTTCAAACCCACCAGTCACCTACTCAAAGGGAGAAAGATGGGATTGTCTCATCCCTTAAAGATTCACAAAGCCTCAAAAATTCGGTAGCGGGTCGCTTTGGGGCAGAATCGACCCAATGACGTTGGGTTGTCATCATCGAAATTCTAGCCGAAGCCTTAGAGAAAAGGGCATGCTTATGAAGTGAAGTCCAAATGTGTCATTCAGGCACCCTGTGTGACATGTCATTTATGCTTCTAGGGGGTTGTCAGGAATAGACTAAACAAGATCCTGGCATCCTTTCACCTGTAAATACTGAAGTATATATCTAAGGATTTAAAAAAAGAAGATCACAATACCATTACAGGCATCACACATACACACACACAGCACGGGGTTGGTTCCACACCATTGTAAGAAAGTAAACATCACAGCCATGCAAGTCACACTAATTGTTTGCTTTCACAGGGCTTAGAAAATTTACATGTACACTAGACTGTAGTCCATGAGCATAATGAAAAGTTGGAAATATTGTGAGAATGACCAAGATGCGACCCAGAGACACAAAGTGCGCTCAAGGTGGTGGGAAAATGGCAATTTGTTTAAAAAGAAACAACAACCCTGTTTCTGTGAAGCACCACAAAGCAAAGCATAATACAACTAGGTGTGCCTGTATTGATGGGCAACAAAGTGCACAGTCTTTTCCTACCATCTGCCAATCCCTCGTCAATGTTGCCTTTTTGCTCTTTGTTGGAAAAGGATCTTTATTGCTGATTGGTTTGATTCCAGATCCAAGCAAGGTCCTTGTATTCTGGTTGGAAGACCTGTCACAGTCTTTCTATCATTCTGAAGTGGGATGATTCTCTCCACATAGACACATTTCTCCTTCCCACCAGGTCTCTGTGAACTGGTTCAGGTTCCCTAGCTTTACAGCGACAGATAACTTTATAGAGAGAGTGCTGTCTGGCCCTATATGAACATGTCAGATGGGCCCACTCTGAGTGGTGTCCGTATTATTGGAAGGCTCCCCAGCAACTTTCTTTGAAGCAACATTGTCTTCAGACCATGGTGGAAATAATGGCACAGGTTACTGTCTGCATGTATATAAAGGGGTCCTGGTGGTGCTGCGGGATAAGCATTGGGCAGTTAATGGCCAGTTCAAGTCAACTGTTTGAGCCCACCAGCCACTCCTCAGAGAAAGATGAGGCTGGCTATTCCCGTAAGGATGAACAAACTCGGTAAAAACCCCTAGTGGCTTCATGGGCTGATAACTGCAAGGTCAGCAGTTGGAAACCACCAGCCATTCTGTGGGCAATAGATGAACTTTTCTTATATGGTAAAGAGTAAGAATCTCAGAAACCCACAGGGGCAGTTCTACCCTGCCCTATGAGTCAGAGTCAGCTTGGTGGCAGTGAGTTTTTTTAAATCCTTTGTAAGGTCGCTATGAGTTGGATTCAAGTTGATGGCTGTGAATTTGGGTTATTGGGTGTGTCTTTGGTTGTTTGATGTGTGCAGAACACATTTTGTCTGTCTTGTGGCCACACGATGATATCCAGCTTTGGGCTTTTGTGAGTGACTGTTGGTGCACAGATATTCATGTCTGTGTTTTCAAACCTTTGGAATCTCTACCTAGGAGAGGAATGGCTAGATCAGGTGGTAATTCTATGCTTAACTTTTTGAAGACCCACCAAAACCTTTCCATAGAAGCTGGACCATTTACAGTCCCAATGGGCGTTCCAATGTCTCCACACCATCTCACCAATCATTAGCAGTTTACTTTGCATGTTTCTGATGGCTAGTGCTGCCTGCTACATCGGCGCCCTGGTGGCGCTGTGGGTTAAGCAGCGGGCCAGTAACTGAGAAGAGGCTGGTGGTTCAAGCCCACCATCCGTTCTGCAGGAGAGAGATGAGGTGTAGTCTGCTTCTGTTGAAGATGCCTAGCCTTGGAAGCCCTAGGGAGCAGTTAAAATCAGTCCTCCAGGGTCCCTATGGTCCGGAATCCACTCAGCGGCCGCACGTCAGTTTTGAGAGGCCTTACTATATTCTTGATCCTAGACTTGGTGGCTCTGCCGTGGGCAGCTCTTTTCTTCCTGCCCCGTGGCTGGTCTTCCTCCTCTTTCCAGGGTCTTTTGAGGGCAACTGTTTGTGTTTTTCATCATGGTGAAGTGCCATTTGTCTGCTTTCTCTTTTATGGGGCCTGCTCCTCTTGCCAAGTTTGAGACCTGTGTGCCTAGGTTTTCTCTCATGTGTTTTTCTTCTAAAAGTTCTATAGCTTTTATGTTTTACCTTTGAGTTTGGTTGTGTTATCCAAAGGGCAGCTTGGGTTGCGATAGGTTTATTTATTGCCTAGGGATGCCCACTGACCACAGCACCATTGAATGACTTCTGCATCCGTGTCACCAGTCAGCTGTCCATATTTGCATGGGTCTGTTTCTGGACTCATCTCCATCCACTTTCCTCCTCCTCATTTTAACATCAGCCACTGGTGGTCATCGTCTGGCTTAATTACTTCATTGTGTTGCACAGTGGTAGTAGTCTGTCATTCCTTCATTTATCAGCCGGGATGCTTCTTGGGAAAGGTTTTCCCTCATTGATTCTTGGGCTTTTCTGAGGTACAGTCTGAACAGGAAAATGCAGGATAGATACTTGCCTCCTTCCTTTAATATTTGCTGGTGTTCAGAGTAGTGTTGTTAGGTGCCGTCAAGTTGGTTCCAACCCATAGCGACCCTATGTACAATAGAATGGTCCTGTATCATCCTTACAGTTGTTATGTTTGAGCCCAGCTTGTCAAAGATCTTCCTCTTTTTTTGCTGTCTCTCCTAATTAGTAAGCATGTTGTCCTTTTCCAGGGTCTAGTCTCTCTTGATAACATGTGCAAAGTAAGTAAGACAGAGTCCTGCCATCCTTGTCTCTTAAGGAGCCTTCTAGCTGTATTTCTTCCAGGATGGACTTGATGGTTCTTCTGAGAGTCCGTGGTATTCAGAGTTGTTTTTGTTCAGGTGCTGTTGAGTTGGTTCCGACCCATAGCGACTCTGTGCACAACAGAACAAAACACTGCCCAGTCCTGCACCAACCTCACAAGCATTGTTGTAGCCCCCGTGTCACTCCATCTTGTCGAGGGCCTGCCTTTGTTTTGCTGCCCTTGTGTTTTACAAACATGATGTCCTTCTCCAGGGACTAGTCTCTCCTGACAACATGTCTAAAGGGTGCTAGAGTCTTACTTTGCTTGCCTCCAATGAGCACTCTGTGCACACTTCTTCCTTTTAGCAGTCCATGGTACTTTTCCGTATCCTTCACCAGCACCACAATTCGAATGCTTCAACTCTTCGTCAGTCTTCCTTGCTCACTGTCCACCTTTCCCATGCACATGAGGCGTCAGAAAACACCATGGCTTGGGTCAGGTGCAGCTTAGTGCTCAAGGGAACAACCTTCCGTTTCAGTATTTGTGCAGCAGCTTAACCCAATGTGTTCAGAATAGTGACAGGATTTCCCACCACCCTCCAAAGGTGCCCAATAATGATTGTCATCATGATGAACTTGTAGATTCTTTCTGACATATCTGATGTGTGTGAGTCCATTGTAGTTACTGTTTTTATTGGCATGGCCCTTTTGGTCTCTGAGAAGCCTCCCTGTCTTCAGGTACAAGAAGATCTCCCAAGCTCTTCAAAATGTCCTGCAACAGAGCCGGCGTCAGTGCATATCACCAAGAACCTCAGTTCCTTTTAGTGAGAACTGATGGGGCCTGCAATCTAGGTCGTAACAGCCCAGTAACCCTTAACACATACCACTTCTTGACCCTTTATTGGATAGAGCTAGACTGCATGCACGTGTGCATTTGAAAAAAAGAAATCACAAGGTTAAACTGAAATTTCCATTCAAATTAAAGATATAAGATATCCTTACTTAAAATTTCTTGACTTCTTTTTCTATTTGTGTGTTAGGTGGAAAAATCTTGGTTCTGACAACAATAACATTAATTCCTCGTTCGCTAGGAAAATAATTTGATACGTAAGGATTTTGAGGGCGAGGAAGATCCTCTTCCATTTTCTGACTAAGAGACTTCTGATAGAAGGTCCAATGGGCCAGTTTTAAGACCAGCTGGATTTAGAGTTTTTTTAAAAAAAACAAAAACAAAAAAATGACGTTTTCTGTTTTAACTGTAGATGATATTGACTTGACTAGGTACAGCCCACGCTTGATGGAAAAAATCCTCCAAATGGCTGAAGGTATTGATATTGGGGAGATGCCGTCATATGATCTGATGCTGTCCAAATCGCCCAAAGGTCAGAAGCGCCACCTATCTGCCTGTGATGGTGAGTATGCTGGTTTCTGGAAGGTGGGAAATTGAAGGCACAGCATAGCCCCTTTTTTCTTCTTCTTTTACTTTTTTATCACCTGAGTGTAGTCTATGGTTTTAAGTACATTGGGTATGACACTGTTATTAAAGTTTTCACCTTATAATCCTGTACCTTTTGGGGGTACTTTTTTCTTTAAAAAAACTTTGTTTTGAGAATGCTCAGTAGACCCACAAACCGAATGCTGGATAAGGCTCCCTTTGGGCCCATGCCCTAGTGTCTGCCTCCAACGTGAACACTTCAGCTGGCAGTCATTTGAGGATCTAAGTAACTGAATCCTCTTGGATGGGCCCAAGAAGGGCCAGCCTCCTACCGACCAGTGTTTCAAGGAGGCAGCAGCGCTAGTGTACTGTCTGGGGGACCCTTACCCCTGAGCTTCCAGTTCGGTGTCCCCGGCAATCTATCAGCATCTAGGAGTAAAATTGAGGGAGCTCCCTTTTTGTACCACAGGGGTCAGGGCGAAGAACTCGATGTAGAACTGTTGGGTGGTTTTCTGGTGATTCTTTGTGGGGTTTTTTCTGTGTTTTATTTTTTAAGTCTGAGCTATGAACAGTGCCATCAGAGAGGCAGTCACTCAGCTCCGATACAAAAGAAAGGGCTTGTGCATGCCGCTGCTCAGCATCTCAGTTGCTTCAGAGTCCGCTGCCCTGCCGGCAACCTAAGAAGGGCTCTTGGCAGCACGGGAGATTATGCTGAAATACCCCACTCTACTCAGAGTAGGCCTCACCTGTGTTTTTACCCCATTCAATGTGAAAGCCCCGGCTAGTCATGCATGGTAGCGACCCATGTGGTGTCTTGCCTACCAAGAGTCTTCCCTTACACGCGGAAGGACAAGGGAGCATCCCTCCTAATGCTGGGACCTTCCTTTAACGATCTGAGTCTCTGCCCCGAAATGATGGCGAGGGGTTGTGATGGGCCATGTCTTGTGTCAACAATAAAACTTGCCCCTGATTTGATTGGTACACTTCCTCCTGCCGCCTTCCCCTCACAACCCCCCCCTCTTGCTGCTTGGGTCGGGTGAAACATTCCCTTTGTAATGAATTGTAAATTTCACTCATTCCATAGGTCAAAATCCTCCTAAAAAGCAAGCCGGTTCCAAATTCCAGGCGAGACCTCGTTTTGAGCCTGTCCATTTTGTAGCTAGTAGTTCAAAAGATGACAGACAGGAAGATCCTTATGGCCCTCACGCCAAAGAGGGAAACGAGCCAACCCATTTTGCCAGCATGCCACGAGACTTCTGCCAAGATTACACTCAAGACTCTTTCAGCATACAAGACGGGGATTCTCAGTATTGTGATTCCTCTGGGTTCATTTTCACAAAAGACCAGCCTGTCACCGCCACCATGTATTTCGATGGTCGAAACCCTGCCCCGAGCAGCGCCTCCCAGCAGACCAACTCCCAGCTAGCCCCTGCCGAGCCTTCACCCTCCCAGACATTTCCCGAGTCCGTGGTAGCTGAGAAGCAGTATTTTATTGAAAAGCTAATGGCCACTATCTGGAAGAACCTTTCCAATCCTGAGATGAATGCTGGCTCCGATAAAATTAATTACACGTACATGTTAACTCGTTGCATCCAAGCTTGCAAGACAAATCCTGAGTACATATATGCCCCTCTGAAAGAGATCCCACCTGCCGACATCCCTAAAAACAAGAAACTCCTAATAGATGGGTATGCTTGTGAAGTGAGATGCCAAAACATCTACTTAACCACGGGCTACGCTGGCAGCAAGAATGGGTCCAGGGATCGAGCTACTGAACTGGCTGTGAGGCTCCTGCAGAAACGTATTGAGGTCCGAGTCATCCGGCGGAAATTCAAGCACATATTCGGAGAGGACCTCGTGGTGTGTCAGGTCGGCATGCCTCCTTATGACTTTCCCCCGGCCCTGAAGCCACCCGAGGAGCTGGTGGTGCTGGCGAAAGATGCTTCTGGCCAGCCGATTTTTAATGCCTCGGCCAAACACTGGACCCACTTTGTCCTGACGGAAAATGCAAACGATGCCATCGGCATCCTCAACAACTCGGCCTCATACAACAAGATGTCTGTTGAATACAAGTACGAGATGATGCCAAATCGCACCTGGCGCTGCCAGGTGTTCTTACAAGATCACTGCCTCGCAGAAGGATACGGGACTAAAAAGACCAGCAAGCATGCCGCGGCCGACGAAGCGCTGAAGATTCTTCAGAAGACACAGCCCACTTACCCGTCGGTCAAGAGTTCCCAGTGCCAAGCCGGCTCCTCCCCGCGGGGATCTGGGAAGAAGAAAGACATCAAGGATCTTGTGGTGTATGAGAATTCCTCCAACCCCGTGTGCACGCTGAATGACACAGCCCAGTTCAACCGCATGACGGTGGAATACGTCTTTGAGAGGATGACCGGCCTGCGGTGGAAATGCAAGGTGATCCTAGAAAGTGAAGTCATTGCCGAGGCCGTCGGGGTGAAGAAGACTGTCAAGTACGAAGCGGCTGGGGAAGCTGTGAAAACCCTCAAAAAGACCCAGCCAACCGTCATCAACAACCTGAAGAAAGGGGCCGTGGAGGACGTGATCTCCAGGAATGAGATCCGGGGCCGCTCAGCCGAGGAGGCCTACAAGCAGCAAATCCGGGAAGACAACATCGGGAACCAGCTGCTGAGGAAGATGGGCTGGACAGGGGGTGGGCTCGGCAAATCGGGCGAAGGCATCCGGGAGCCGATCTCGGTCAAAGAGCAGCATAAGCGAGAGGGGCTGGGGCTGGACGTGGAGCGAGTGAACCGGATCGCCAAGCGAGACATAGAGCAGATCATTCGAAACTATGCCCGCTCGGAGAGCCACACGGACTTGACTTTTTCCACTGAGCTGACCAACGACGAGCGGAAGCAGATCCACCAGATCGCCCAGAAGTATGGCCTGAAGAGTAAGTCTCACGGGGTGGGCCATGACCGGTACCTGGTGGTGGGTAGAAAAAGGCGGAAGGAAGACCTCCTGGATCAGCTGAAGCAGGAAGGCCAGGTGGGGCACTACGAACTCGTCATGCCGCAAGCAAATTGAGTTCTCGCTCGTTTATTTTGTCAGTGCCCAGGGAGGCAGCTGTCTAAACTTACAGAGAAGAGATCATCACATTTTCCTGGTCACGGAGTATATTCATGACGATGTGTTCCCCTTGTTCATTTCATCTAGTGCTTTATTACTGGGTATTGGAACCTGGAGAAATCCTGTCCGCTTGTATTAGCTTACCCCAGAAGATGGCATTGTGCAGTTACTGTTTTGTGTCTTCACTTATTGCTGTGTCCCCTTGGGCGTTAGCTGTTTGTTCGCGCAAGAACACATCTCCCAAGTGGAATTTGACCCTGAAAAAGAAATTCTCGTGTGCAAGGGTTTCGTCATAGCACTACAATCTGCACCAGTCTAGACAGCGACATCGGCTACCGTCACACTACTAGAGCCTTGCCCCCAGAATTCTGGAAGCTGTCAGGTCATTTTGTTACCTCCTTTTCATCATGTGACGCTAGCTCTAGAATGCCCACCAGTAAAGCTGTGCCGTACGTGTAAATGTTCTTACCCATGAAAAGAAAGTAAAAGACAAATTAGCGTTCCTTTATTTATAACTTCTCTGTCAATTACATGTACATGTTAACATCGATTTCCAGAATATCAGGAGTGATTTACTGTGATCTTGTGATCTCTGAATCTTAAACACATTGTCGTCTTCACACTGAGAGAGCACTACTTGAGAGAGCGCAATTGAAAGGAGTCGGACCCTATGCTGCAGTCAGACGAGAGGAAGCTTGAACTGTTTGTTCTTGGTGCCTTGCAGAGAGACTCACAGCGACCCTCCAATATGGCCTTCCCGTGTTCCGGATGTGCGGCCACATCCGGGGCAGCCACAGCTGTGGTAGAGCGTAGCGTAAAAAAGACTGAAGATCCATTAGGTGCTCTGATGCTGAAAAGGTCTGTTGGCTGGTCCCTCTCTCAAAAAGCTTACTAAGCCTCAAAAGCCAACTTTGTAACATATTTAAAACTGCTATTTTCGCTTATTTCTGGGATGTAAAAAACAACAACACTGTGTAAAAATAATGAGTGTATGCTTCCTGAATAAAAGGAGCCCGAGTTCATCAACATGGTGCTTTGTTTATTTCTGAGCAGCAACTGGGTAAGGGTACTTGGTAATGGCGATGGTGACGGTGGGGGGCAGGGGGTAGTCTTTGGAGAAGTGAAATCCGGGCAGTCCTTGGATTAGATCAGGCCTAGATTTGTCTTTTTGTTGGATTTTGGAGGTAAGTCGGAACGGGTGCATCTGGGTCTTCAGCTTTAGCGTGTTACAGGGAAAGGCTGCTTTTCTAAAATTGCAAACCTGCACGAGCAGGAAGGGAAGGTGACTGTGACGGACGACTTGTGAGTAGTGATTGATTCAGTCACTTCAGATAGAGAGTGACGGCATGACAGAGGGCCAGGAGTGGTCCGTAAATTGGATGTTACTAACCCTCCGGCACAAACTATCTCAGCACCAGAGCACACACGTGGGTGACCATGCCTGAGCAGATTGGGACAGCCAACCAGTCACCCGTCCCTCCCCTTCTTCCTCTGGACAGCATACCGTGATTCTGTTTTTGCGATGCAGATCAATCATGTTGAACTTTCCAGGTGAATGAATATCAAATATTGGCCATTAAATATCTCCAATGGCCTCTCCAGTGGCCTGCAGTTCAGGACAGTATCTAAACCATTTAGCATCCCGGGCAAGTGAGGAGTCACAATAAACAGTACTTGTTTTACTTGAAATTTGTCTATAGATTATTAACGTGGTGGCCAGGTCAATCTGTTTTCAATGTAAAGGGATTATTTTCACGCCTAGAGCTTCAGACCTGGCAGTCACCATGGCTAGCGTGTGTGCTGTTTGCTTTCCACTGTTTCCCTGCTCAGTGTGTGGCCTGTGGTTGGGAAGAGAAATGAGGTAGATGTGTATTTTGTTCTGGCAAAAGGAACTGAGCCAAAGTCTGTACATCTTATTGGATTAAATTTTGTTGTTTCTAACCTATAAGGTTATGTCAACCTTGAGAGCTTTGGGCTCACTTGTTAGGGGCTGCTGCGTTGATGGAAATGCCGGCTAGGCCTGTGCCATCCTCAGAGGCAAGGCTGCGTTGGAGTCCATTGTGGTAGCCACTGCGTCAGTCCATCTTTTTCACTGACCCTCAATCAAGTGTGATCAGTGGTTCTCCAGGGACCGGTCTCTCCTAACATGTCCGAAGCATGTGAGACAAAGTCGTCTGCCCATCCTTACTCATTGCTGGATCATTTAATGAATTCAGTAGCCAGTCTTCCGTTCTCTGAATAAGAATGGCTTTAGGAATTTAAGGGATGTGGCCTCTGGAACCATTTCTTTCTTCCCCAAACGATAGGGGCTTTGGGGGTGTGAGGTAGAGAGGAGAAGGTAAGGAAATGTTATATTTAATTCCAGTCTGGTAGATGAGTCAGGCAGGATATGCATGCAGTTAAAAAAAAATCCTGCCATTGAATAGATTGACTCATAGCAACCCTGTGAGACAGGATAAACTGTCTAGATTTCTAAGACTAACTCATTAAAGGAGTAGAAAGCCTCATCTTTCTCTTGTGCAGCAACTGGTAGTTTCAAATTGCTAACCTTGCAGTTAGCAGCCCAAAGAGTAACCCCCATACTACTAGGGCCCCTACTTTGCAACTAGTGGATCCCATTGGACAGCACCATTACAAAACATTTCCATCATCCCAAAACGTTCTTGCACCCGAGGAGCAGGGTGCTTTCCAACTGCTGACCTTGTGGTTAGTGGCCTAATGCATAACCACTACGCCACCAGGGCTCCTTAGTTACAGTTAAGGCTCTCAAATATATATACAAATTGGGTTCCTGGATTTGAGCTTTCCTAACTTTGTGATAGGTGCAGAATTAAGAGGAAGTCACTAACTGGGAATAACTAACTGGGAAACGGGGTTGACAAGAGCTAGCTGCTGACAACCTTGCTGTTCAATATGCCCCTTTGAGTTGGGGCCTGTGTTTTCCCTCTGCTGCTACAGTAAGGTCAGTGGTTCAAAACCACCAGCTGCTCCTTTGGAGAAGTTGAGACTTTCTGCTCCTGGAAAGATTTACAGGCTCACCATGAGCAGGAATCCACTGGATGGCAGTGGTGTGGTTTTGTTTTGTTGGGGGAGGCGGGGGTGTGAACCTTGCTAATCAAACCAACAAAGGTAAAGGAGAATTTTCAAGTTCTGGTTTAAAATTGCAATGTGGAGGAACTAGCTGTGCTTTTGGTTAAATAGGGTATGGAGTCTCAAAGATCAACTCAGTGAATTTTCCTCTCCCTTCTGCAAAACGAATAAGAACTTCACACATTCCATTGGATCCTTTCTGAGCAATCCACTATGCGTTCACTGCAGTAAACCCGAAGCTGGGGATGGGTCCTAAACACAGGACTCGAATTGGCACCTTTTGGTTCATCAAACCCACTTCTTCGCACCAACAGGTGCAGAACTGACCCGAGTTCAGATCTGACTGCCATTTGAAAAGGGACCTCCCAACCCCACTCTAATTAACTTTGTCATAATTACTTGCAGCCCACCTGTGCTGTTTGGCCAAAAAACAAAACCAGTATTCAGTGTTCAAATGGTTGATGGTGCCTTTGACCACAGAGCTGAGGTTCTGAGGAGCCCTGGTTGCACTGGGCTGCTAACTGCAAGGTCTGCAGTTCAAAACCATCAGCTGCTCCACGGGAGAATGAGGCATTACTCCAATAAAGTTAGTCTTACATGCTCCATTGCAGTTCTACATTGTCCTAATGGGTTGCTGTGAGTCAGCATCAACTCCATGGCAGTGAGTTGTTTTTTTATGTGGCATTGAGGATATCAGTTAGTTGGCTCTCCATTATAAGGCTGTAAAGGGATCATCCTGTTTGCATATAGTATTTCTCAGGAGGCGTATTGGAGAAGAAAAGTAGTCTTAAATCTGCCCACTCGCAATCTCAGTTTGTTGCTAGTATAACTAACTCAGTGTCAAAATATTTAAGACACCTGACTGCTGTCAAATAAAGTTCATTTCAAACTTAGCCACCAAATTAGGACTCAGTTCACTTTTGAAGAAATGGAAGTGGGGGGGGGAGGTGTTTTCTCCCCCAGGTGCAATCAGCCCCTAAACACAAACTCGGTGCTGTCAAGGGGATTCCAATTTGTGACATCAGAGTAGACCCTGGGGTTTCTGCGACTGATGGGGAGTGGTAGCCTCCGACCTAGCTCAATGCTTACAGGCCAGTCAGTGGGGCTCCTGAGCCCTGTCCACAATTGAGATTAAGGTACCTAGCCTTAAAGGAAGCCTGGGGTGAAAGGCACCAGTAAGGATTTAGCTAAATTTGTTTTCCGCTCCCAAACAAGTATCAAGAGCTAATTTTCCGTTTTTAAAAAAATCATTTTTTGAGGGCTCTTACGTTCCATGTATCCATTGTATCAAGCATATTTGAACACACCTAAACTTTTCCTATTTGAGCCCTTGGCCTTTTTGTTCTTTAGGACTTTGCTCAGAAGGCATTTTTCTTTGCAGTGTGGACAGTTACCTGTATACCCTCCCAAACTTTGCAAAGGAGTTAAAACACATTTTGCAATCGATCGGTAGTTTTTAAAGTGAGACCTTTTTTAAGAGATGAAATAGCAGGAAATCAGTTAAATCTCATTGACCAAAGGCGCTGGCTAACATTCAGGTGTTGATCCTCATCCCTACCCCCCCAATCGCAATGCTGTTCCCTTGATGGAGCATATCTACTGGTTTTTTAAACTTATTCCACAGCTTTATAATCTAAGTTTTAATGGTAACATTTCTGGAAAGGGCAGGGGATTTTCTTACCCATGTGTACTCCCAATTTTTTCTATTCCCAGAACCTGTATTTTTATTATGGTGCTTATAGAGGGAAATGAGGATTATACCTTGACTACAAGATTTTAAGGTTATTTTTATTTACAACTTTAGAAAAATGTACATTTTTTACATGGGTTACTTGTGCAAATTTAGAATTATAAGAGAAATGCACAAAAGGTGGCGATGGATCGTTAAGACAAAACACAAACAGGCCTTGTCCCAACCTGCTACTTAAGCGACCATGTAACAAAGTATAATCAAACAAAGAGGGGGGCAGCCATTGGCTACTGAAAGCCCAAAAAAGCCAAAAGGGAAGAAACTCAAGAACTGAAGCATGCAATGCTAGCTAAGGGTGTGCTTGGAAGGTGGTTTCCCACAGATGGCTCCTTTCCTTGGATTTAGTCAAAGGCTGAAAAAAAGTTAAAGAGGGGGAGGATCCTCAGCTTGTTTAATCTAGGACGGCATTACTCATGGAGAAAGGCCCAAGGGCCTCCAACTTTTCTTAAACAGGAATGACCACCCCCCATTCTTCGCTAACAAAAACCCAACCACCTTCAGTATTTGGAAGAGTCTGGTGGGTAGGCCACCCCAGGAGAGCTGTCAAGTTACAACTGCTCCCTTGGCCGGATCACCCTTCTTTCCTGCTGCGGGATCCACGCTTCGTGTCAGGGGTGTGAGACCCTGCATTCAGAACGGATGTTTCTGTGGATCTGTTTCCACAGTGGCTGTACTCCGTGTTCCAAATCCATTCCCTTTTCAATCCTACACAAGTGATATAGACTGGCCAGGACAGGCGATCTCATTTAAAATAACATCCTGGCTGCCAACCTGCCATCAGCACCGTGAATAACACCCCGCCGGAAGAGGACTTAAGCATCAGTTAAGTTTTGCAAGTAACCCAGGTACAGTACATTTGAACTCAGGGTGTTTGCTGAAGGAGAGGGTAGAAAGGATAGAAGAACTCGGCAAGGGAAGATGGAAACGGCACAACAGCTATTTTTCTTTTAATAAAGGTGACAAACACATCATGTATAATTTTTCTTATGACCAGCTTCTCTCACTGCACCTGGGTCAACAATCGCGCCAACTCTGTTCTACTATCGCAGATACACGCTTTTCATATTCCCGTTTGTTCTCCTGGTACAGCTGAGCGGCCTGGCTGTTTGCAGGACTATTGGGATTGGGCTCATCCAATAGAGACTGAAGAGATAATTAAAAAACAAAAGTGTCAGTTCCTCCAGGCATACAAGAAATATGTCAGAACCAACAGGGCTATTTTGTTTAGATGATAGCAAAGTTTACTCTCTCATACTAAGTAGCTAGGCAAACAGGAGTAGGTTTTCTGCTAACCTGGGTCCTAATACTACCTTTTATCTCGAAAGCAAATAACAGCTTTGGCCAAAAGGAGGGGGGGGACAGGTGGGAAAAGGCCTATTAGACTTTTAAAAGCCATCAATTTGCTAATAGATAAATATACTACAGTCACATTAAAGAAAATTCACCTGTATGGATGTTAAAATTGAAGACACATCATAGGTTGGGCTCCAGCGGTTCTGAAGTATGTCCAGACATATACTACCATCTGCATAGACTAAGAGAATAGAAGTCGGGACATTAATATCAAACATAAGGCACGTATAGTCAGTAATACTTTGCTTCTGATATTTATAAGGAACCCCGCTGGTGCACTGGTTTAAGCACCCAGCTGCTTACTGAAAGATCGTCCATCATTCAACCTCACCAGCTGGTTCATGGGAGAAAGATGTGGCAGCCTGCTTCTGTAAA